TCTGACATTATTTAAATATTCAGCAAAACGTCGATGGATGGTATAAGCAGTACGTCATTGAAACGTGTTCGCAAAGTACGTAAGTGTGGAAAACGTAAGAGGGACGTTTGATTTTTTACCACATTGGCCCATATGCGACGTAACTTAAACGTTAAAATTCAACGTTGTCGAAACAGATTTTTAGTATCAAAATATTTGTTGGTGTAGAAAACGTTACAAAGACGTTGTGTTCTCACTAAATCAGTTCATTTTCGACGTAATTATTTAACGTTAAAAGTTAACATTTAAAAAGTGACGTCCATAATGACGTTCATGTACCGTGCTGATCTGACGTTATTTGAATATTCAGTAAAACGTTGTATAAAAAGTAAAGTTCGTTAGTGCTGAAAACGTAGCAGGGACGTTCCATTTTTACCACATTGGTTAAGTTTCGTCGTAACGTAAACTTTTAAGTTCAACATTGTCGAAATGACTTTTAAATATCAAAATATTTGTAAGTAATAGAAAACGTTACAAAGACCTATATTCTCACTAAATCGGTTCATTACCGACGTAATGTTAACCAAGATGTAAAATTACCTCAAAATGTGACGTTGAAAATAACGTACATGTGTCCAGATCAAACGTTATCTTAATATTCTGCAAAACGTCGATGAATGGTATAAAAATAAGGTTGTATTAACGTGTTCGTTAGGTGTATTCGTGTAGAAAACGTTACAGGACCGTCTCATTTTTACCACATTGGTTCATTTGCGACGTAACGTAAACGTTTAGTTGAACATAGTTGAAACGAGTTTTAAATGTTAAAATATTTTTGACTATTCCCGGGCCCAATACTTCGATGAACTGGAAAAATTGGTACAGGACTAAGCTTTGAAACGTGTAACTTAACTTCCCTATTGTCACTCTACTATACCTTGCATTGGGTGTTCATGAGCAACCCTTTTGGCTTATTAGTAATAATTATGTTATTTGTTTTTATTTGTCTGTTCCTTATTAATGGTTTATTGGATGACGTTAGATGTTAATAAGGTACTTCAAAAATATACTGAACAATACAATTGGATAAACAGAGTATCTTATGCATTTCTAGGGGTTAGGTATAGTAGAGCGATTGTGTAGGACTGCTGTTTAAATACAACCATCAGTCAAATACAATAACACCTCAATTAACCCACTGTGTACATATACTCCCCTAGAGACAATAGAAAAATAAGTTACTTTCCAATGATACATCACTCAACGGTAACACATCAAACGAACATCATACATAAAGATGGCTTATACACGTCACGTTCCATCACTGACACCTCTATATTTACATTAAAAATCATAATTTACAGATTTTAATTAAATTGAATTATCCAATCGGACAAAAAGAGTAAGAAAGTATTGGATTTACACAGTGGTTAGTTCAATAGTATCTGAATAGTTTTTTCTTGTCGTATCGACTTTCTATAGAATTGTAATTCTTCAATGAAAACGATACACTGTGTATACAAAGGAAATTGCTGGAAGATTTGAAAGACCACTGAGTACACAAAGGACATTAGAGCTACGGAACATTGCTGAAAAAATGTGTAAAATTGTAAATAGATCACTAAATGTCAAATCAATGAATCTCTTGTTCGCAATTTATCTGTAGTTTTCAACGCGGTCTAATATCACACAAGGGATTTTCTAATGTTTTCCTAACACAGGGGCTTCAGTCTAATGTCTTTATCACACAGGGAGTTGTCTAATGTCTTTATCACACAGGGGCTTGCCTAATGCCTTTAACACAAAGGAGATGACCTAACGTCTTTATCACACAGGGTCTTGGCCTAATTTCTACATCACAAAGGGGCTTGTCTAATGTCTTTATCACACAGGCCCTTACCCAATATACATGTAGTTATCACACGTACAGGAGAAAACCCAATTTCTACATCACAAAGGGGCTTGTCCAATCACTGGTGCTCCTCGTCTTCATTTCTTGGTGGTGCAAAATATAACATCACATTTGAAAAGCTGCTCAATAAGTGAATAGTGGAATGATTACAGAACTCCAGGGATTAGAGAATGTATCACACGACAAAACATAATAATTGCGATTTATTTTACTTTTGAACATTACAGCATTATATTACGTGTGGAAACGTGTTTCATAAACTAAAGGTAACTCCTACTCAATTCTACGAGACTGCGATTTCTAACTTTACCTATTTGCTTCCTGTCACGGGAGGCCACTTTATAATTAGCAGCATCCATTCCACCTTTTTTTGTCTAGCCTGAGCCTAAACTAGTTGTAAACAAATTTTTGGTCTAGCCTACAGAATCATGTAGGTGGGGGAGGTGCATTTAGATATTGCTGTCCAAACTCATCTTGGATTTCCAAGGTATGATGTGTTCATTGATTGAAAATCAAACTTGGAAACGAGTAATGAGTATGGTCCAAACTTGGCAAGTTGATATGCATTGTTAAGTGAAAACGTCAAAGTAGTTTTTGCATATAAATATTAAACAAGGCACAGACGTGAACAATATCGTACCTAAAACAAGCAGTGTGACAGTGAAGAATTTAGGACGGAAAATCCAAAATGGCTACCTTAAAATTTACCCAGAATGCCCAAAAACTAATCAGTTCTTAACTTTGATACGTAGAAACATCCCTGAAAATTTCAGATGAATCCATCAAATGGTTTGGCTGGAAACCTGTAGACAAGTCTTGAAAGTGAAGATTTTAGGACGGAAAATCCCAAATGGCCACCTTAAAATTAACCCAGAATGCCCAAAAACTAATCAGTTGTTAACTTTGATACGTAGAAACATTCCTGAAAATTTCAGATGAATCCGTCAAATGGTTTGGCTGGAAACCTGTAGACAAGTCTTGGAAGTGAAGATTTTAGGACGGAAAATCCAAAATGGCCACCTTAAAATTTACCCAGAATGCCCAAAAACTAATCAGTTCTTAACTTTGATACGTAGAAACATTACTGAAAATTTCAGATGAATCTGTCAAATGGTTTGGCTGGAAACCTGTAGACAAGCTGAAAAGTGAGACGCCGCCCGCCCGCCCGTCAAGGTGACGACAATATCGTACCTTTATTAGGTACGATAAAAATCATTAGGATACACATTTATTTTCATTTATTCTTTACAAAATTTTATTTCCTGAAATTCTGACCTATAGTTGTACTGTTTGTCATTAATACAATCACTTGGTGTTCACTGCACACACGATCAAAGCAGATTCCCCTTGGACTTTACATGGATCATTGTGCGTTGTATTTCATGTGGATTAGCTGGGACCAGTGTACAAAAATTATATTTTGACGTTTTTCTCTGGCAATCATGATTTTTCTTTCAAATTTCAACAAAATGCCAAAAATGGGAGCCAGACAAGGCAGTCCGAGTAGCTCATAGCTTATTTGACCTACTTTCCGACACAGCCTGGATAAAAATTGGCAAATCATACTTAAGTAAACAGTACATTTCTGAAATTTTTTGGTGGGCCAGTTGCCTTGGCTTTATGTCAAGAGTTCCATCGTCGTTTCTTCAGCTCCCGTCTGAAGACCAAGCATACTATAAATGTAACAGTTCATGTACATGTTTACATGTAGATAAAAGAGCATGATTGGCAAGTCCCCACGCATTCTATTTCTATAGTAAACACGTCTCCTGCCGAGAGAATAAACTAAGGGGCAAAACATTTAGAGGAAGCAGTAGAGGTGTTAAATGAAGAGAATTTTTTCATAAACATCTTCGAGGAGTTCATTTTCAATTAACTAGACTAGTAACCGGTTGTTTATCAGACATTTCACATATTGTCATGTCAGATTAATTGGATTTTCTCAGTGCAGTGAAACAAGCATAGATGGTACTCCATTCTTTATCAAATAGTCTTGCTTAAAAGACCCTGTACCCCCCCCCCCTTATCCTTCTCTCTGTATATTGCCAGGTAAAGAGAGTGAAGGTGACGGGGGGTTGGATACAGTCTTTGAGCAATACTATTATCAGATAGTGTTCTACTTGGGAGGAGTAAATGAAGATAATTTGTAGATATACCCCCAAATATATCATATTCACACGTAAGACTACATTTTAACTCCTTCAAAATAATCGCAACCAAAGTCAATGCAGTTTAATAAGGCAACGTTTCACTTAAGGAATAAATAATGATAGGCCATTCAATATGGTGAAATTCAGCACGAGTTGGACAGAATGTTGTACAAAGCACGAACCGAAGGTGAGTGCATTTGTACTAACATTCTGTCCAACGAGTGCTGAATTTCACCATATTGAATGGCCTATCATTATTTTTTCCGATTCAAACATAAAAATTAGTAAAAGCCGTGTCTGTGGAACGGGCATGAAGGAAGAATACGCATGCTGTCAAGATTCTGAAGTCGGCCGGAAAATTTTTATAATTTGTTTGGGCTGTTCTATTTTACTCCCCGTTTTAGATTTTATACAAAACAAGGAAGTCAGCCATAGTTAAATAGTTACAGTAGTTACGGAGGGAGTAAAAAAGAACAGCTATCCCCGGACAGAGCCCCAGATGTGCAGCTGAGATGTGACGTCACTCAAAACAATGCAAATTGCAGATTGAATAGAGCATGGTCGTGCATCTATGGAGAATTAGAGAACGTTCTATATTGGCTATGCTGCATTCTGATTGGTTGAGAAATTCGAATAGAGCACGGTCATGTTTGAATCTGTCCTTAAAGACGTGCAACAGGGCACCATTCAATGACTGATAACTACCATTGAAAGTTTTAATGACGGCTTCATTGGTGTCAAAACAGATTTTTGCAGTTGAAAAGAGGTATTAGTCGCACGGGGTCAGGTCTGGGGCCCGGGGTCTGGGAAATAGGGAGCCTGGGGTGGTTGTGTGGCTATGGAGAAGGCTTTATCTACTGCATCTTCAGTAATGTGGGCTCTGTGGGGTGGAGCATTGTCGTCATGACAGTGAAATCCCCTTCAACCACATCTGGCTTGATCGAAGCTGTGACTGAACCGTGTTGATGGCATTTTTGTCAATTGAGAGGCGATAAAGTAGGTACCTTCAAGCAATTCAATTCAGTATAAACATTTCGATCAAAATGAAAAAAGTTTGAAGTGACAATCATTTAAAATTAATAGGGTAGAATTTCAAAAAGCAGAAACGAAGCGAAAAAATAATAGTGCAAATATTAGTGGGAATACAGTATCAAGATTCTTGTGTAACATACATGTTTAGGGCATGTGCTCGAAAGCACTTGTAGTATATTACAGAAAATGTTATGCACATTTGGAATAATATTATCAATCTTCTCTATGTCTGTGTCCTGTCTTTGTGGGAGTGAACTGTATACGCCACCCACCAATATATTTTTAGACTCCAAATGGCGTCTGATTCAATTTCTATTCTAGTAAACAAACGTGAGTTCCTAAATTCTAGACGAGGATCCAGAGTCCTCTTTCAATATGTTGTTCTTACTGCAATCATTGTATAAATAAATCTTAATATTATATATCTTTAGGAGTTCGAAAGCTTGTTTTGTCATTCCTTGCCCTAAGCCAGGACCTATATTCCTTCATTCCTGTGGGGCTTTTCCTGTTTAGGCCAGAGTGCTTCTTGTCCCTCTCTCAAGTGATGCGCTTCCTTTAGCTTTCGTAAAGTTGGAATATCTGAAATATAAATGTACATCTTTTGTATGATAATCTATTTAATAAATCATACACAAGATGTCCCGAAAGTATGGAGCTCCCTTTAGGCAGACATGTACCAATGCCTCCATAGTATGTGTCATATATCATTTTAAAGCTTATCCAAAATTCTGTCATGTATCATGGTTCAACTCACAAATGGGAAAAAGTTACAGGCATTTCAAAATTTAGTTACACTTCTAAACTTTAAGGCATGAATCCAAATGATACATTGAAATCAACAATACACCAAATTGTGATGCACATAAACAAGATTTTCACAGATCAACAGCCTAGGTGTTTAAATAAACATATCTTTTGCTCCGCTATAATGCTGAAGCGATTGAGGAGCTTCTTATGTAATACATTATATTGATATAAATAAATATGAGTAAATAAAAAAAAACAAAAAAAAACATATCTTTGGTAGGTTTCACCGAATTAAAGGCCTATGAGCATTACTTTGAAAAACTTTTAAGAAACGAGGTTTCTTAATGGTGATTTCAATAAGTATTGCATCAAATCCTTTATACAAACAATAATGATAAAAAGTGAAAAAAAACATCCTCCATGATGCACAGCAGGCGTCTAAACGTGACGAAATAGCAGACACTCAGAATTTATGTTGATAATAGCTTTTAACTCATCACTTTTAAGCTATCATGAATGTATTTATACTTTAAAGCTGCTAGGGTGGGATATGTCTTTAAACAGCAATGTGCGAAAAAACAGTGAAATCTATGGCTGCAAATGAACTAAACCTATTATCGTCCAATTACTTTCTTGAATTTAAATTTTTTCTGGATTTAAGTCACTCAGATATTGCCAAGGTCTTTCATTGAAAAAGTAGTTTGCATTTATTGGAGTACAGAATGTATATGTACAGTAAAACCTGTCTTAGTGAGCACCTCTCTCTGGTGGACATTCATCCTCTGCACATACTCTACTGACTTCTGTATAAATTACTGTACTTCTACTTAATTTGGCAGCTGTTTTAATGTCGGCCAAAAATTAAGTGGCTGCCAAATTCCCTGGTAATTTTAGTACCATGTAAATTAGTACCATTATTACATTGTAATATCGCAAGTCCGCCAAATGTACAAAACAGCAAATCTACCAAAATAAGTAGCACCAAATTAAGTAGAAGTACAGTACCCTCTCTGTAGTGAACACCTATCAACACTAAGTATTTGTCTCAGCAAAAAAATGTTCAATATCATACACAGGTTTTACTGTATATGTATGTGTGTATATATTAGAGAGGATACATATAAATCATACAGATATCCCTTTTGTAATGGTACGATGGTCCATACTTACATCATTTCATATTTCATTCTTTCTTGGGCTGACACAGATGGAGACATTTTCTTCACAGCTGCCACCAAGCAGCTCTGATTGACAATGGTTCCCATAGCAACCACTTCCTTGGCAGCCATCTTGGATTCTTCTTGTTCCACACTGACACCTGTCTGCAGTTTCTTCAACTAAAGTAGCAATAACAATATGTTCATTAATTCTTATCGAGCATAGGAACATGTGTAATTAAGTAAGTCAGACTCCCAAGTAGAAGAGACCTATGTTATTGAGGATATTTTATTCCAAGTATGTTATTATGTTGAAAAGAGGCATGAGGCCCAAAATGGCTTTTAAAAGTTACTTTTGACTGATACTTCACATCTATACATGAATGCAAAGCGCCTCAAAGCCTTTTTCTACTTCAGTCACACTACATGTACAAGCTAAGTACATCTGTATACTTGCACATATACATGTAATGACATTACATATATGCTATATGTGTACCAAGACTAATTTCTTTGGGTCAGAGTTCTACCTTATCTTGGATGGATTTCCCTACATCAGCAGTCACAGCAACTGGACCATCTTCCAGTTTCTCCATATAGACAATATTAGAATCAGTTTGTATTGTGCTGCCATCTTTCAAAGGAGTAATTTGTTCTCCATCGCTACTCTGTCCAGTAATGATATCCTCAACAACTTGTTTCAAACTTGTGTCTTCACTGGTATATCCAGAATTGTGCTGCCCTCTATTGGTAGATCCAATCTTGTGTTCCCGCTGCAAGTCGTGTATGGACTCAAGTTGAGCATTGTAAAGCAGGGCCTTTAGATCAGCCCCTGTGAAATTTTCACAATAGGTGTTCACTTGGTCAAGATCCACGTCATCTGCCAGATTGACCTTCCTTGATAAAGCTTCAAGGATCTCTAGTCTCTCATCCTTCAATTAAAATACAAATACGTACAGGGGTTTCATTAGCAGCAGGCATCGGGTAATTTTCACTGGTTGTTTTCACAAAATCGCCTGTTGTTTTTAAGGACTTTTCAACTTTTCCATGTTAAATTCATGATTTCCATTAATTTTGCCTCTTGTTTTTATTTATTTAGACTGTTGTGAGAAATTCTAGTGAAAAATGAAATGAAAACAACAGGCAAAATTAATGGAAATCATATATTTAACATGGAACAGTCCCTTAAAAACAACAGGCGATTTTGTGAAAACAACCTGTGAAAATAGCCTGTTGCCTCCTGCTAATGAAACCCCGCATTACTGTAAAATAAATGTCCTCTATCATTATTCATTTCACACCATGTAAAAATGCATGCACTCTACAATTAGTACATGAACATACATGATACAAATCTATTTACTTTAAAATTTCATTTTCATGATTTTGGTATTTTCATGTAGTTTCTATGTCCATTTACCTTTGTTGGTATACCACAATGTAGGCATTTATCCAATCTGCCGGGACGTAGGAGGGCTGGGTCTATGAGGTCAGGTCTACTTGTTGCCGCAAGGATACACACACCTGGTATCAGAAACAGAAGATACAGTGACGTGTCACTGTTAAATGGTAATAACTTGTTTACATTTTTCGCAATTTTGAATTTATTAATAACAATCAAAAACCATTACAAAATTCAATTTTTGAAACCTAAAACAAATGCTGCAAACAAATCCTTCTTTATGCGAGCCCTATCTACACCATCCAACTGAGTTACCAGCTGATTCACAACTCTATCAAACTCTATCAAATAACTAACCTTCTAGCCCTTCTACACCATCCAACTGAGTTAGCAGCTGATTCACAACTCTATCAAACTCTATCAAATAACTAACCTTCGAGCCCTTCTACACCATCCAACTGAGTTAGCAGCTGATTCACAACTCTATCTGTCACACCAGTACTGTCATGTCCTCTCCTAAACACATGATGCAAAACCAATATTAGTTTAAAATTGTTTAAGTATGAAATTTTAGGATCCTCTCAATAGGATCTTAGTCATAGCACAATTAGTTGAATGTCTTTATCCATGAAATACCTCCACTGTACACAACTGTCTGGTTCAATATGAGGCACGAAGGCGTAACCTTAGTTTTTTTTCTGAAAATCTGCAAAACTAAATTGGTTCTTATTGAATCATTAATTAATCAAATTTGTTGAATGTTTCAATCTTACAGTGTATTTATTAGCTTTTCACATCATATCTGATGAAAAAAAACTGCAAAGTGGAACACATGTGCAAGTGGAGCAACTCTACAAGTGGAACACTTCTGTAAGTGGAACACCTCCACAAATGTAACACTTCTTACTGTATTTTCTTATGTTTAAGCATCTATTTAATTCAACCTATGTTGAACAATCAAACACTAAGCTTACCTAGGTGCAAGAGAGTCAAACTCATCAAAGAAAAGTATACAAGGTTTAGCACTCTGGGCTCTTATGAAGGTTGAGCGGACAGCTTGTTCACTAGCTCCTATGTATTTATTCAATAGCTCAGGACCCTAAAGAGTAAAAAATAAAATTGAATGGAGTAAAATACACCATATCATAGTCTTCGTGTAAGTTTATCATCCATTTGAAAACAAAAAGTGGCTCCAAAGCAGTCACTGTTGAATCCTATCTTCACTTCATTTGATGCATTAACAATCGATCACCCGCCTTTTTGTAAGCATGCTATAAAGTTTGGACTGGACTGTGTTACTTTTAACCCATTTTAACAAGTGAATATGTAAAATTGTATAAAACATGTGTACTCATTAATAAAGCGAGGATAGGATAGTTCTGTATAAAAGGCATGCAATCGTTGTTTATTTTTTCCAAGTTTTTGATGGGATTACTCAACTGAAATATACTGTATTAGTGCCTTAACCCTCCTAAGGCTCCTTATTGGTGTTTGATTTACCTTAATACTGATGAAGTTCAATCCACACTCCTTGGCTACTACCCCTGCCAGGAGGGTTTTTCCTGACCCTGGAGGCCCATACAGTAAAAGTCCAGACCTCAGGCGTAGAGGACAGGCAGCAAACAGCTGAGGGTACTGGGGTAAATAATATAATAAAATTGATCAGTATTAGTAATAAAAGGACCTTTAAACCATGCAGAATCAAATTCAATGAGCTAATTTGTTTAAGATTATATCAGATTTCAAAGCTATGAGAGAACTTTAGGCAGTTATACATGTACATATATTATATAATAACTAGATCTCCCATACAAAAGTTTGAATTTAATTTAATATCCTGTGACTTAAGATTAAGAACATCGAACAAACATTTTGCCAAATGAGATGTGTCAAACTCTATTTGGGTTACATGTTTTGCTACACGTAATTCTCATATAAAGAATTCTCATATAAAGATTTCAAAACATAGTAACTTTAAGTGTACATGTATGAGACGTGCTTGACAGGAGTGATTGAAGCATGAGTGAGCAAGGACGATTGGAATCTGGTTCAATATTTTTTAATCTCCAATCGATGCGGTAGTTTCCAATCCTACCTGTATATTTCTACGGCTGCTAGGAGAATGGCCAATATTCTTAACTGAATTTTGTATTTATAATATAACTACGTTATACCCGTATATGGAACAAAATATCAATTGGGGACCCTGGGAACCAATCCTCCTTGATGAGTGAGTTACCTTTGAAGGCAGCATCAGTGTATCAACCAATGTGTTCCTGACATCATGCAGTCCCCCAACATCTGACCAACCCAGTTCACCCACTGTGTGTAGTGATACATTACGTAGAGACACTGGTGTGAAGTCTTCCAGTGCATTGTCAAAGTCAGTGCTCCTTAGTGACACATTATCATCTGTTAGATAAAAATATAATGAGTAGGGCATGTAGTTACTATGGTAAATAACAATCGGCCAATAGAATCACTGCGCATAGGGTGACTTCTAAATATATATGAATATCAATTATGAATCAAAATCATATTTGTTCATAGACTTTAACTCTAGTTACTATGGTAACAAAGTCTGACTTGTAACATGGCCTACATCCCTCCAATTAGCTTGCAGACCCCGGTGACTATGAAAACTATCCAACTCTGAAATTAACATGGCAATTCATATGTTATATCCTGGTTTCTTCGCTTACCAGTCATATTTTCTAATTAACTCCATTGAGTAAGAAAAGCCATTGTAACTATGGCAACCTAGTCGAGTTCACCAATCTCATGACTTCCAACCTTGCTATAGCAAGTCTCACTCACCAGTTACATGACCCTTATCTGTCCAATGAGCATGCAGAGCTCTTATTACTATGGTGACCAGATCTTTGGGGGTAAATCCCTCAGTTCTAGCTGCCACATGCTGCAGATCAAGGGTATCTATACATGAGTCCCTGACCTGGTGATCCTGTTCTAGAATTGCTTTTAGCACAGCAGCCCTTTCCTCCTGAAAAAAGAAAAACAGCTTCATTTGTATCATATGTACAAGTTCCATATTGAACAACATGTACTTGCACCTTCTTGAAATTAATGCAATTAATTCAGATGTATGTAAACTTCTTTTTCCAAGTTTTGATGATTACAAAAAAGAATGATTGTCAAAGTCAGTCTATTAAACCCAGGCCCGTAGCCAGGGGGGGTTGATGAGTTCGAGAGAACCCCCCTGGCCAAAATATCTTTCAAAATCATGCAGTTTTTCACCATTCTGAGCACTCTTTAAGGGATTTTAGCCATTTTTGGACCAAAATTGTCACAAGTAAACCCCCTGGAATTTTCAAAAAGTGACCCCCCCATTGGCAAATCCTGGCTACGACCCTGTAAACCCTTTATTACCTTATTAGGCTGTTTAATCTCCACGACTTTCTGAAAGAGGTGTGTCCCGCGTGATGACATCAAATTGCCATGGAGACTGCTTCTTGATCTTGCCGTGGCAATTAATGCTATCTTTGAATTACCAGTTATCTCAGACTTCAACAAATCTCTTAGAACTAAAAGTAGAGAGTTTTCAAGTTCATCAATAACGTTGGTTTTACATGATTTAAAGATTTGCGAACTATTTTTCTTTTATTTAATTAAATCAAAATCTCCCAACCAATCAAATTGCTTATTTATTGTTGAGATTATTTTGCACACACTTGAGAAAAAAAATCAGTGGGAAAAAGCTATTGTATAAAAACTTACTCTCTGAAACTCGTGTAAAATATGTGGCTTCTCCACCAACTTCTGCCTCTGGTCCAGATGGCGCTGCTGTCACATGGTCAAGATCGTCCAATAGGATTACAGATGGGGCCCCCCAAGATGCTTCATTACTGACTTTCTCTAAGAGCTGCAGTAGTGTCTCTATACGTTTACCTAATGAAGGAGTGAATAAATTAATAGTACAATAACGTCATTTCGAAGGGCACCATAGTGAAATATTGTACAAATAGTGACTGCCATTGAGGGAAATAGTGCAAAATATTTTCCTCAAGGGAATATCCTGTCCACTGACAAGTCAGTGGACAAGTCAGTGAACAAGTCAGTGGACAGGATATTCCCGAGAGGAAAATTTTTACACTATTTCCCGAAAATGTGGCAGTCACTATTTGTTTTATTATATACCTGATATACTAGTACTCTGTAAACAAAAACAAAATGAGAAGTCTTTTCATTTCAATATCAAATGTTCACAGGTTCTTATTGGCATTTAAAGGCATTTTACCTTTCAACTCCTATAATCTCAGATTTGGGGGAGATAAAACGTACTAACTACTATTGACTGGTCACATGACCTAACTGGTGATTAGTACAATTCATCTTCCCTGAAAGCAGGGATTTAGGACTTTCCAGGGAATTAGTTCATCTATTCCATGTCATGTGACCATGAATAAGCCAATGAGCATCTAGAATACATTTGAGGTATATAATAATTCACTCTATTGCCCGCAGAAATGACGTTATGAGTAGTATTACCACCGTTAATGCCCAGGGCTGAAATAGCAAGAAAATCTTACGCATTGAACGATATCTAATTTCCCGGGGAAAATCGCCGGGTGTTAATAGATTATTTGCCCTCCACTATGACGTAATATTTATAATCTAATATATTTCATATAATATTTGATGAGGCCTAAAAATATTTAGGTGGGGTGGAAACAGTGACGAAGGAGAGAATTGAGTTTAACTACAAGTATAACAAAAAAAATTTCCACTACAGTCAAAATTTGAATTCTGTTCCTAACCTTTCAAAGGTTTGCAGTTGACCATTTGCACATGTGCTAAACTTGGCCAGTTGGACAGTCTGCTACAAACAGCCTTGGCTAGTGATGTTTTTCCACTTCCCTTGCTTCCAGTTATCAACAGGCAGCCATTTTGTATCCCATGATTCTCAGTAAAGATGTCTGCCACAACAGGCTGAGTGGCGAGGCAGGTCTGAATGTGTTCATAGGCAGAGGTTATGTAGCTTGAGAATCCACTGCAAGATCATAAAATCATATTCACTTGTGTATATTGACTAAAGGATAAATACCATATCATTTCCCAAATATATAATCAGTTATAATATTGCTTCAAATATAAGTCTGAATGAGTCATAAGACCAGCATATACCCCATTTGTAGTACAAACCCTTATTGTAGATACATATATGCTCATTGTAAACACATGCAAACCCTATTCATATTTGACATAATTGTTCTTACACCTAATTGTAGATAAATACATACCCTAATACTGTAGGTACACACTCTAATTGTACTCACATACCCTAAGTATACATATAAAGCCTACTATATCTAGTATTGGATCCAAGGCAGCTAGCTAACATACCCTCATTGTTAATACCCAAGTTATACCCTAAGTTACATAGCCTAATTATAAGTATGTTGACTGTTCTCACATACCCTAATTATACCTAATTGTTCTTACATACCCTAATTGTTCTAACATACCCTAAACATACATGCATACCCAAATTGTTCTTACATACCCTAATTGTATATACATGCACTAATTGTACATACATACCCTAAACATGCCCAAATTGTTCTTAAATACTCCAATTATACATACCCGAGGTGTTGATTAGAAATATCAGGTAGAGTGGAGTCAATTTCTTCCAGGTCTACAAGTATTGGATCCAGGGCAGCTAGCTTCCTTTGTACTGTAATATTGCAGTCTTCAAGATCACTGGGATCAATGAGTGTGTACTCAAGATCCACTTGAGTAACATCTGAAGTTGAGTACTTTACAAGGAACTCACCTGGTTTATCTGGAACAATATCATACAGAGGCATTTACATAAAAAATGTCACCACCTGCCATTTGTTACAGATGCTGAACGCCAAACACCAACTGCTGAATTGCAAACACTGTCTACAAAAAAAAGTTGGAAAACAATATGTCACCACTCGTAGTTGTCACCACTCGTAGTGGTGACATAACAAAGGCATTTACACATGTCACACGACTTGTCACCACCTGGAAAGTGCAGCAATAGTCAATTCAATACTGAACATCTAGGTCACAAAAATTGTGGATAAACAGACATTAGCTGTAGCCCATGTCTCTAAATTGAGCAGCTTGAAATATGGTAGTAACTTCTCCAGTACCGAAGCCACTTGAAAATTTGACAATAGACTTGAACAAACTTTAAAATGAGAAAAATCTTGAAAGGAAGGGCAGCTTTTCAATAACCCCAGTCAGATTTTTGAATACAGTATGAGAACTTTGCACTGACTTGAGGAAATAATCCTAACCCAGAGAGATTTCTACACTGCCTTAAGTGAACTAATAAATGTATGAACATAAATTACCTTTCTCTAGATCTATACAAATGAAAGTATTCTGGTTCACCACCAGGGGGCTCTGATAGTTGGTGTAGTTTCTTAACCAAAACTTGAATGCTGTCTTCAACATCTCATCAGAAAAATAAGCAGGCTGCAAGAAAGAAAATGTTTCACTATTATACAATACCATAATCTGAATACACAATATAAAATTGCTGTACCATAATTAAAATAATAAATACACTACACTACAGTTACTATATGATTAAATCAATACTCATAATGGGGGGATGTAGTAGCTTCAAATTGTTTTTAAATTCTTTAGCTAAGATTAGCATTGCGATTTTTAATTTTTGATACAATAATTCTAATGAAAAATTCATATTTATATTGAAAGTAAACAAAATGTAACTTTAGGTAATGACTCATTTTGGAATTATTATCAACTCACCACTTTAAACAGTGGACTAAGCTGAAGAGACTTCAAGGTCACTGGGTCACGTGACACACTTTGCAGACGGAGCTTTGAACCTAGTGACAGTGACATCTTTTGACGGAGTAAATTGTGAACCACCACATGTCCATTTTGTACTTTTAATTTACTGCATGATTTTATTTGACTTTCTTTATTATTGTTTAAAATGACAACCCGAACAATCTCTCTTTCTTCTACCGTTTCCATGTCAACACTAGAATCAGAATTAGGATCCTCCAATGTTTTGTCCGAAACTCCAGATTTATTTTTCGCTTTTAATTTATCTACTTTTGTTTTCATAATTTCTTTGACCTCTGCCGGTGAGGCAAGTTTCTCTACAGAGGCAAAAAATGATTCATGGCAAGCATCAACATTTAAATCTTCAAGGTTAATGTAGACATTGCAAGGATGATGTACATACTGACACAATTGTGTATGTGTATTTGAATAACTCTCTTTGTCTGGCGTAAAATAACTGAGTTGTGATTTTGATTTGTATGTCGTATCACAACTGTCAAAAGTGGAATCATAATGGTTATCACAACTAAAGCATTTGCATGTGTCACTTTCTTGAAGTCGCTGTACTCGAAACACTGTGTCAATTGTACAGTCAGAGCTTTCTAATAGCTCCAGTTCATAATCTGTATCATCATTTTCTCTTTCATCGCAAACTTCCTCCTCGTTCTGCTTACCTACTATCAGACTGCTAGCCCAAGTAAATAATTTGTTAAAATAGGTGGTATTTTGTCTGTCATTAAATTTGTTTTCATTTTTCTTGTCATGGTAGTTATCAAACTCTGATTGGTTGGAAGTGTCTTGTATATCTGAGGTTGGAGCTCCTACCGCATTTCCATTTGCCATCTCTGCGATTTGATTTGCCTTCATTTGAGGTGTGCCAGAAGATGGAATTTGATTTCTTCTGTCTTTTGGGGTCACTATGACCTCAGTTAGTGTTTCTAGGAGAACACAATCCCCTGGTGGCTCTATATTACCTGAAAAAGAAATGTATACACTTATTCTGTTCAAGTATAGTAAGGGGTGGCTAAATATAAAAACGATTTTTTTAATACAGTAAAACTTGTAACGTGGAACACATCTTGAAGTTAATAAATTCTGAGGTGGAAGTGTAAGTCACTTTTCTAAGTCCTGTGGTTTACTAATGTAATATGAACTTCTGTAAGTGGAACACATCCCAAGTGAAGCACTATTTTTAGGTACAGAAGGTGTTTCGCTTACGAAGATTTCCCTACATCAAAATCTCTTTACTCACCAATTTTGACAAAGATGCAAACTGACTTGTCCACCCATATAGGCAGAATCTGGCCTTGAGTTATAACTCTGACCTGGTCCAATAGGTGGCTCTGAATGTAAGCTTGGTGGATTTCCTAAAATTAGTCAGATTTGTCATTGCCAAATAGAATATGAACTTATTATCATATTATTATTGTAATTTGTATTATTAGCTGACAAGGCAGAACTTAATGGTTGATCGCTCTGGCTAAAGTGGTGTTCGAATCATCAAAGAATATAAAGGTTGGTACCAACATGACGGACTAACCGAGTGAGTTTAAAAGCAGGCAGGAACGCCTTAGCAGAGCACTCTCTTGTGTTTAATTAAAGTAAAGTTATTGTAATTTGTAGTCTTAGTTGACAAGTACATTAAACAAGACATTGACATGACACATGAATATAACCTATTGAGATCATGAGGTTAATGCATGATATATTCCGTCATATGCTTAACTAATTTGTGAACTCGGGTTTGTGAGCATATCACAACTCCTACTCACCAATATTTCCCAGTCATCAACAGACAGTGGCTCCACATACACCTGGTGGCAGGACTTGACACTAGATATTGGTTCCACAATCACCTAATTTAAAACATTCATTATATTACTAAATACGATATTAACACACTCATTTAAATGTGAAACTTTATTTCAAATTTAACAATTGAGAGACAAAATATTTGGGATACATGTAGCATATGCTTTTGAGAGAATCTGAAGATTTGAAGACAATTACATTATGTACATGTACATTAGTTTGTGAAAATATATACATGTACAGGTATATGAATTGTATTCCAAAGTGGTTTAAACATTTTATGGAGCAGGCCCGTAGCCAGGATTTGCCAAGGGGGGTTCAGTTTTCAAAAATTTCCAGGGGGGGGTTCACATTTGACAATTTTGCCCCAAATATGGCTAAAATCACTTGAGAAGTGCTCAAAATGGTGAAAAACTGCATGATTTTGAAAGAACTTTTGGCCAGGGGGGGGGGGGTTCGCCCGAACCCTGCGAACCCCCCCCCCTGGCTACGGGCCTGTGGAGCCTAAAGAAAAAGTTACTACCTTCTCGCCACTGCAGATTCCCAGTTTGTTGGCAAACAATCCATTTAGGTGTATGACATCATTAGTTTGGTCATGCGATGTTCCAGATCCACTCACATATACAATTCTGTCCTTGCCATATTTCAATGAAAACACTTGAATCTGAAGCACATAAATATGATCTATGATTGATCCATGGGCTTTTTCATGAAACCAAGAGCCCATGATATGTTTCTTATCCATGGTATGCATGTTGTATCTGCACGATCAAGTTTAGCGAGAGAGCATAAATATTGCATCCATAAATTCAACAGAGTACAAACAAGTCCATTTTCTAGATCTCAACTGTTTTAGTTTTATTTCAGTGAATGTAATTTTGATTTTCTGAGAACTATAGGCTCGGGAACAAGTTGCCTATGTAGATAAAGTCGGAGACATCAACAAACCTCAACCATCAAAAGTTGTCACAATGAGCTAAATTCTAAGTTTCGTGTCTCAAACTTTCCCAAGCGGTAGAAAAATAATTCCCGTTCACTTTAAGTAGCACAATAAATGAATCCAAAGCTTCGTAACTGCAAATGATGGATAAATTCCTACCAAATCGAACGAATGTTTTCATGAATCGCCATGTTTGGAATCCAAGGAGGATTGACTCCCAGAATGCAACATCAGTTAACCTTATTTACTCGTTACAGGTTTCAAAATGGCGGAACGGAATTTCGAAAGCTGGCACGTGTCCTGTTGCATTCTGGAAGCCAATCCTCCTTGCGGTGTAATCGGGCTCCAAAATCACCTCAACATTTGAAGAGTCGACATTAACATGTGAATATCCACTTCAAATTTTTAAGTTCCTATTTGTCATTATTGACACCTAATTGAAAGCCCATGTTGACACAAATTCCACTATATTTGGACTTACTAGGATGGAGAAAATAGAGCACTGAATACACTGAGGTAAGAAATTTTAAAATGTGCGACAGCATGTACATCAGTGGTCTCCCCAGCACTAAAGCAAGTGGGCGCAGCACCCACCTGAGATTTTAAAAAGAGGCTTGCACCCACCTGAAGATCAATTTGCACCCACTTGAAAATGAGTAAAATTATGAAAAATTGGCATATTTTGACCAATTTAGGTGAGAATTTTGAAAATGAGAATTTTGCACCCACCTGAGAAAATATTCTGGGGAGATCACTGTACATGTATTTTTCATAGCTATAGTCTAATTCTTTATGTTCCACTGTATTACATGGAAAATCTTGGCTTTCTCAGAAATATTGCATTCATTGATGAGAATAAACGTCGAGCTTGGGCAAAGCTAGTACTAGCTTATTGTATACAATCTTCCATGAACATGTCATTAATCATACATACCTTGTTTTTGTTCACCTGGTTTGCAAAAGAGTTTGGGAAACTTGCAAAGCAATTTTTGGAACCTGAAAATTCAACCAATCCAATTTTGCAACTCATTTCTCTGTTTCAACAGTCGTGATTGATATCTACATATTTCTGACGTATTCTTGTTTGTGTCTAATTTATCGCATCATCTCTAATAATCTAATCAACACGCTAGTAGCTAAATTAGAGTATGATTGTTTCGAAAGTTTCGTTTTTTTTCTGTCAAAGTTCATTTTTAACGACAATAGGACGACTAATTGATGGTATACGCTAAACGAAAAAGTAAAATCTTCTAATATAAACCCGGGAATTGGTCTACTTGCGGAATTATAATACGCGCTTACAGTTAATGCCATGTTAATGACTTCGAAATTGGATTTGTCTATCCAACGTCATTTGAGGTTTGTTGACTAATGTGCTCCTAGTTTTTAGCTGTCCTGATTTCTGTAACTATTTTGGTCCTTTTCTGTTTTGCGAGTGCCATATCATAATGGAAATTAATTATATTCCGAGTCGAGAGTACAATGCTTTTAAGAATGTGAGTACTTTTACTCACACGAAACCATCTGCAATTAATTGCGCTGGTGTTGCAAATAAATAGTATAAAAATTCACCTAAGGGGCTCTATCACAATGGCACCCGGCTCGCCACCAGCGAAAATATTTGTAAAGAACCTGTCTACAGCGCCATCTTTTAAACCAAGGAAGCCATGTTAATTGTTTCTCAAACTGTTGAGTATGAAACTCCCGACTTTGCAATCACAAAAGAGAAAATAGCCAACTGCTTCAAAAGAAACTTCACTTCTAGCCAAATGACCATGTGGGGATAGTAAAATCATATGATGCAATCCGTAATGGTGGGTGAATGCTGTGTGTTTATGTTTGTTGTTTAGATAAAAGTTAATTTGTGTTGGGGTGTAAGTCATCCCAGTGATGGTCCCTTTAATGTACACCAAAAACTAAACAACACCAGGATTTTACTAAATATATCTGTATACTACTGTTTATTAGAACGTTATAAAAATAGGTGTATAAAAATAACTATTCATGGCAAGAAGCCATGATGTCAAAGTTGCGTAATACTGATACTGATTACCCTTAATTATATTGTATCTTTGGTTTACCTGCCTATATTAGAGTTTCAAAAATAAGTTTACCTGATAAATAATCGATAATCAACTTTCTATGTAGTTTAATAAATGTCATCATTATTACTAAATTTCCAAGAAGACAAAAATGTTCAATTAATGACTCTAAAATGAGAATGCTACTGATGATTCAGTGAAACTTGCTAGGACAAACTAAAAGTTTAAATCCTGTATAAGTTTCAGAACCTTTCCAGCAATCATGATGTCTTTTAACTGTATAATTATATGTAAATGTCTTGTAATTGATTTTTGGAGGAAACCAAGTGTTTGGTTTGAAACACAATAAAATCTTGAATCTTGTTAATATAATACCTTACTTGAATCATATGTCTCTTTAGAACAGTCAAAGACTTATATTGGAACAGCTTAGTTTCTGCTATTTAACTAGTTTTGATTAAATGTGATAGTTGACTAGACTAAATTCTAAATTTCGCCTTTAGAACTTTATTGCCACAAAACTTGGCTTATAAGAAAAATGTAAAAGTCACTGGTTTCGCGGCACAGTTAAGGCAACGAATACTGTAATAAGTAGGTAAATCTTGCCAACTAATGAAAGTAAGCAAAGTAAAATGAATGGGGACAATTCAACCAACCAAGGTAAAATTGTTAAAATGTGTTACTGGACAACAAAGTTCACCAATGACCGGCAAAAATAGTACACTAAACTCTACTTTAAGATCTAACTATGTTTCTCTATGTAATGAAATATGGGGCTTTGATGCTCCCATAATAATGACTACCTATTTCAAGAATATATATGACATGTACACGAGGCACACATGGTTTGACTCCATGTGGCCTTCCTCCGTTTACCAAAACAACTACCAAAACAACAGTGATCCCTATCTGATTACCAAGAAGTGTATCAAGCCTAAAAATATAACATTGGGGACAAATAACAATAAACACCAACTTTTGTCCACGATGGATTAAATTGAAGTTCCACGTGGTAGCATGGTTTATCTCCATGTTTCTAGTAAAATTTATATGCCTTGGTCATGGTTCGACTCCATGATTATAACAAATCTTAAATGGTCATGGTTTATGTCCATGACAAAGGTACCTCTCAAAGTATTGAGCCAAATTAATAGTATAAAAATGACGAATTTTAAAATTATCAATAAAAACAGCCAATGTGATCGATGGAATTCAATTACACGTGGTTATCTACGCACGTGGCATCATGGTTTATCTCCATGGCTATGCTGAAATTCCGTTGCATTGGTCATGGTTTATCTCCATGAACCGTTCATGTGGGTCGATATGAACGCACTATACTACTGTCAACTTTAAATCATGTCTAATAATCGTAATAAATTGGGACCAACAATTAATTTACGCTGGGTATCTTAAAGATATTCCCTGAAAATATACCAACCAAAAAATTATGAAATAATTACCGCCAAAATGGCCGCCACGCAACCCACGTGGAATAAATCCTGTTCAATTAATAAGGTTGAAGATATCGTAATTAAGCTAATATCGTCAAATATATCAAACTATAAATACTGTCAATTGCCAAACATAAATTAGAGAAGTATCCCCAAAACTATTCGAAGAAAGCCTAGAACATTGATATTTAAATTCTGAACAATGGCGCACGTGTACCATCATGCATGGATAATCTTAAAAATAGTTATTCTTCCTTCAAAAGCTTTGCCTAAAGTGTGCTGCACATACACATATTGTATTTTTATTCATAACATGGAACTGTAACCATAAAATTGTGTGCAACAGTAAATATATCAACATTTAAAAATATCTTTAAAAATCTTAATCAATTACCTAGCGTGAATTAAAGTTCAAACACAAAAGTTAACAAATTTAAGGAAAAAATAAGGCAAAAATTGCTACCTGAGTTTTCCTTTCTTTCCGTTGGTCCATGTTGTCTTTAACAATGGACTACTTCCACGAATATAAGGTTATGTGTAAAATAAATTGTCAAACTATCGGGAGATATTTAAAAGAGCTGCACGTTTCTAGAGCCTGCAAGCAGAACAAATTGGTAACCTCGAACCAATTCTAATTTAAAAACTTACGTGGCTAACCTTGCATGGACTGTACATAAAACCCAAAAAAGGTTACAAAATCTATAAAAACATTATACAATAGGTTCAAAATACATATAAAAACAATTAAGGCATCATAGAGATGAAAAACATAAAAATATAAAATGGTGTTCAAGAGTAGTTTGCAACTTCCGGTATGGCCGCCATGGCACAGAAAAGTTTCAAAATTATTTCAATATCTGTAACTGGCGATAATAAATCAACAAGGACATATAAACATCATAATATATATAACATACAATCGGAAGTTAAGACAATACGTCTCTGAGAATTCCAACAAATGTAAACAGCTATAAGGTGAGAAAAACTTAGAATAACCAAAATAATTTCTGAGATAAATTGCTGGATTTTTACAATATCCCCCCTTAAATTTATGTTTGTCCCAAACATTGATTAATTGAAAGTTGTATGTTGTATATGTATAATGCCAATGTTACATGCTCGTGTAGAAATTCATATAAATCCAAATGTAAAATAGTCCTTTAGTAAATAAAACAATGTCATTTTTTTCTTGAGACTGTAGTCGACAGGGAGATACTGCTCCCCTGTTGGCCACATTCTGGCGATCACATCAGCAAGGGTTTCCTTGGTAACAACTAGCTTAACCCCGGATCCTTCTCCCTTTGTGGTTGGTGGCTTGGAGGACAGCTTCGATAACTCGGTCTTGGACTTGGCTTGTTCTTTTGTCTGGGAGGCAGAGGTAGTTATGTGTGCCACAGCAATCTGGGTTTCACTGGTGGTACTAATAACGGCTGGTTTCTCAAGGGTTTGGCAGGCTGCGGTGGTCATTGAGGTCCTAGCAGTCTGGGATCGTTTGGTCACTGGCTTGCTAAGGGGCAGCACAGCGACTGCCTTTGTCTGGCAGGCGGAGTTGGTCATGGGGGCCACAGCAGTCTGGGTTTCACTGGTGGTTGTTATAACTGCTGGCCTTTTAAGGGTTTGGCAGGCTGAGTGGGTCATTGAGGTAACAGCAGTCTGGGATCCTTTGGTCACTGGCTTTCTAAGGGGCAGCACTGTGACTGCCTTTGTCTGGCAGGTAGAGTTGGTCTTGTGTTCCACAGACGTCTTGACTTCCATACCAGTTCTTTCTGTTTGGGCTTGTTGGTTAGGCCTCTCCATCCCCAATGAGACGACAGGGGCGGTCCCAATCTCTTTTTGCAGCTCAACTTCTTTTTCTTTAAGTTTGCGTGCTAACCTTCTAGCTTTGAGCCTCATGATTTGTTCTTTCAGCTTGTCCCCAAAGACTGTTTCAGCCAAGTTAAAATCCTTTCCTTTCTTTCCTTTGGTTGCCATCTTGGTCCTTTTTAGGGAGACGACCATAAATCTGGCTCCTTTCACTTTCTTAGATGCACAAGTTTTTGATGGTCTCTCTTTTTTGTATACATTTGGTGGCTGGAACAGATTGTCAGGTGGCAAGGGAGTGACTTTGGGCAAGACTTTGTACTCTGATGATGGAACGGGATATTGAGGGGTGTAGTTGTATGGTTTCCTGCTTTCTTTGGCATGGTTAAGCCCTTTGGTAGATGATACTACCGGCGGCATCATTGGTGCGTTGGCAGAGATCTTCAAACTTGTTGCATCTTTCCTTGTTTGCTCTACTTTAGTAACTGTGGAGGCTATTTTAGGGTGCCTGTCTCCTGGGCTGAGTTTAGTTGCCTTCCTGGGACCATGATCAGAGGATGATTTTCTCTTATGGGAGTCCCGCAGGGGAGCTTGGTAATGGGGACCCTGGTGTACCTCATGGTCATGACGTTTAATTTGCCCCATGGTCTCAAACACATCAGGGCACTTGTAACATTTTAGCATTTTCCTCTTCTTTGGGGTTGCATGGTCCTGTTGGTGGTCTTGGAGGGCTCTTACACTGTACCATCTTGAGCCACAGACTCTACCTCTCACTAGGGTGCCACAAAGGTACACTTCCTGAAAATAAGATGAGAAGTCAAACTGAGTCAAGGTTTTAATTTGATCGCTACCCACACTAGCACTCATATTCTTTTAACCAGGAGGGTAGTTTTCGGA